ACCGTCAGCACGACTGTTAGCAATAGAGCTAAATGTCACTGAAGGTTGTTTAAACAAGAATAGAATAGAATATCTAAAACGCTGAATTTGTTGATTTGTTGTTTAATGCGGTACACAAGAAGAAACATCACGAGGAGCTTACTCCGATTTTCATCTGTAGTTTTCTGTTTTGTGCACGAATCGCCCTCTGAAGATGTTTACTATCAATATTCTTCTTGGCAAACGAAATTTTTAAATTGGCCGTTTTCTTACTTGACCACCATTGAATTCTGTTGTTGATAAATTATAGCGAACGCAAGTGAGCAAGAACCGAGCTTGAAATTTGGCGAGCTACGAGACGTGCTCTCCCCAGGACACCGCATCCACGACCGCCGTAGTAGAGATCGCCGTAGCGATTTGCTTAAACTCCCTATTATCGCCCCCGGTACAACAACCAGGGTGAACTTATGCTGGGGTGACTCGCGCTGGTATGACATTTCGTGGTGTTATCATGTAAACAAATGTAGAGCCATAAGAGGGAACCGGAGTGATATTGCACCTTCACGAAAGTCGCCTCGGTGCCATGTAAACAAACCCTTAGGCTTCACTGGAGTTGCATTTTTAAAAGTTCCTGGGTACAGATTCTCAAACTGAGCTAGTCGATATTAATTATGCAAATGTATGGGCTTCTGCGTGCTACACAGAAAAAAATGTCAGATTCCCATTTTTGGATATTTTTGGGTATTTAAAGAATACCCATAAAAATCCCAAATTTGGCAAACAAGACAAGAGACAAGTCCCAACCAGGGAATTCCCAACCAAGTTCCCTGATTGGGACTTGTCTCACTCTTCCAAATCTGGGATTTTTGTGGGTATTCTTTAAATTAATACCCTAAAATATCCAAAAATGGGAATCCGTTATTTTTTCCTGTGCTAGCTTCCACTAGCATTTTTGGTCATTTTATTTAAATTTATTTGTACCATTATCTCAAAATTTTTGGCACATAGAGTTGGCTCAGAATTGATAAAAACGCATTAGTCTCAGTCTTGAATTTTGAAACCAGAGTTACCCATTCTATACCCCTCATTATTTATGTGCCAAATACCTTTTGTATAAGAACTGGAAGGTCTTAAATACATGCACCTCCTTCAATGGTAAAGATTTCCACAATTCAATTCCCTCCTGTTAATTTATCCATAGCATGGTGACCTGTGGAAGGCATGAACACTGTTTGAAATTATTAAATTCAACAATGACAATAACCCTCCCCTAGGGGACCTTTGATGACAAAATGCCCCCCTCCCCACACCACCACCACCACGGCAAATGCTATCAAATGCTGAGGCCGGGGAAGGGGGATGACGGGTATCCTTGGCATTGACTGAGCCATCACAGAATACAATAATTTATGCAGAAGGCTTTATTAATAATAATTATGTGAAAATACTAGTGTTGCTATTTATTTTATTTTATTAGCTTTGCCCTGAAGGATACAAAAATAAAAAATAAAAACAAAAAACACTGTAGATATGCAAACACTAGTAATAAGAGCGTAACAATACACTCATAATAACTTGAATATTAGGCCAGGGACACCACAACAGCTAAAGCCAATTACTGCGGACCCAAAAAATAAAAAGATATAAAAGTAGCAATTTAAATCACATGCAGCAGCTAATTTCCTGGGCTAAAAACCTGGCTGTGTTACTTTTCAGGTAAAATGTACAAAATGCTACAATATTGTAATTGTGGAGGCAAGGTGTTTTAGTTATATGAATTTTTGAGGCGGTAAGTTTATTTCAGTCTGACACAGGTGGCCCACTCAGACTCCATGGGAACTGTGTTGAATTTTATAATAGAATGCTTGGGAATAAACAAAATAATATATTGCCCGGCCTAGCTAGCAGCTGTATATCATTTTGAAAAGACTTGAAATAAAGAAATAAAGATTTGGTTTGTTAAGTCTGTTTGCTTCTAGAACAGAGAGTTAAATCCCTGAGGGTATTCCCTATAATAGCCTATATGAGGAGGCTCGAGTATATATGAAAGCTAGGGGAAAATGTTATTTCAGTCGGACGTATAGAGCCCCAGTCCATGGACCACCCCTGTGGACTTAGCTGTCTATGGACCCTCTTTTGTGGACCCAGTCCATGGACTACCCCTGTGGACCACCACTAATTATTGAAAATGAATTTTACCAGAGGTCTAAACAAATTTTAGGAACCTCAAATGAATGAAACTCTGGCATTTCAGAGCGTCTAAATGTAACAATTTTCTTGGGAAGCATGCCCCCAGACCCCCCCAAGAGGCTTGTGCCTTTGGCGCTTGGCAGTGCCTCCGGCCCAGCGCTGGCTGCTTACTTTGACAAATCAGCCGTCTACTTCAAAACTTTCTGACGACCCTGGGGTGGTCAACAGGGGTTGTCCATGGACCGGTACTCCATGTTTTGTATACATTTTCAGTTTAGATTTTAAAAGGACCTTAATTAGACCAATAGATGCATTTCATTGTTGTAACTCAAAGACACAAACTTCGCAACTCACTGATTGATTCATAATAAAAAGATTATCCATTTAAACGGAATGCAGTGTTTTGAACTGGATATGAGAAAGGGGTGCCATTTGAGAATTGAAGCTCTCAATTTAATGATGCATAAGAGGGTGAGGGGTTGAACCTTTTCGTGGAGCCTTCCCATATAAAACTTCGTTGAGTGCCCCCCCGCAGCACCGTAGATGTTTGATAAAGATTTATTCCTTTTGCAATAAAGGTTAGATTCTTTAATACTACAATTGATTATAATCTGAAATTTGTATATTTGAATTTTTCGCGTTTTACATTTGAGCACATGACTATATCAGCCCAACTGTCATTGTACATGTTTGAATAAATACCATGCAATTTTGTTGTGGTTCAATTTATCCTTGGTTTAAGAAAAGGAAAGAGTTTGGTGTCAAAACAAGGTCGACTTTAGCCTCACGTTTACTCAAACTCTGGGAAACTAAGCCCACAACTGTGAAATGGTCCATTATGCCTTGTTCTAGCCAGGGGCATAGCCAGCTTTTTGACTAGTTGTAGGCCTGGCTGACTTTCATTTCCACATATCCTATTAGGCACTGACCTCGAAAAAACTTTCACCTTTTTAGTTCATCCAAACAATGCATAATTTATCAGAAATTTCTAGGTCCGGGCCCACTGGTGTATGGGCTGGCTACGCCCCTGCTACAACCAGCTGCAAAAAAGTTGAGAAACTCCCACAAAAAAACAACCTTTCATGCTTCAAATCGCTGCTAGTCACAGGTCTGTGAGATATAACACTGACCTCCCTTCTCCCTCGCATTCAAAGTTGTTCCTCCAAGTTTATTTGTATTGCTAGCCACTTTGATAAGGGATGGAGGGGGGATCACAAGTACATGATCATGGACAGGCCATTTATGCCAAAATACGGTACTGCGTGTCTCAAGTACTTTTGAAACTAGTTGTCAAGGCCGGCATCACATGTGAAGTTAAACATTTGAACTTATCCTCAGTCCCTAGTTATTGGTGATACTTAGAAAGGTATTTCTTTGTAAAAGCACATTTGCATTCTAGTTGAATATTTATGAAAATTATGCCATTTACACCACCTAAGACTAAAAAAAAAAGCTTTGATTTTTTTACCTTGAAAAGAAGTCTTCCAAAGCTGTTTCAATTGTTTTTCTCTGGACTTTGATTCCCATTCATTATGTATCGGTCAAATCGAAGCTTCAACATGCCACCCCCTGGGCAACCCCCCGGGCATTTGACTTTTTTGAAAATTATTGTTCAAATTCCCCTCTACCCGGACCAAAATGCCGTTCAAATGCCCTACACTGGGGTCCATTCAGGTGATCAAATGCCCCTACCTGGGGGACATTTCACAGACACAAAAATGACAGAAGGACGGCGGAAACGCCTGCAGTTGTTGAACAAAATCTTTATAAATATAACAAAAACTGAGAAACACTGTTAGCGTATTTACTAGCTATGAACAAAAGTCTCGTGCAAAGCGGCGGAAATCGCTGCTACAAGGTCGCTGAATATGCTCAGCTTTTCTTCATCATGCAACATACAAAGCGTTCTATAAAAAAGATCCCACCTATTGAGATTACTACATCATGACCATTTCACTGACATGCATCATCGTTCACCTTATTAATTGACATACCGGTACTTGCAGTAGGTCAAAGTAGTTGACCTGAGCTTTTTATTTTATTTTATTTTATGTTGTTGAATTGAATCGCCGGTATAGGTATTGTATTTCATTGTAAACACAACAATAAAATACATTCATACATTCAAAGCCTCAATCCAATATTAAAATTTTAAAATAAAAATACTTTAAATACGGCACAAGCTTGCTTAAGCCCTTTCCTCGCAACCAATTGGCCCCAAAGGCACAATCTTTTCCACGAAAATCCTCTAACATCGCGTCCCCAATGATAGCTCGCCACGCCAAAGATTTTACATGAAATCGAGGGTGCAGTTCAAATTCCCCACCCCTAAAGCATGGGGATCAAATTCCCCACCCCCTGGAAGACTCTGATAATCAAATTCCCTCCTCCCCGGGACGGCAAAGGTGTCGAATGCCCGGGGTATGCCCGGGGGTGGCATGTTGAAGCTTCGATTTGACTGATACATTAGGCAGCTTTGTATAATGTTTAACTTCCAAATATATATATTAAATCGAAAATAGACAGCTGTTCTTCAGAAAACAAGTGGACAACAATGCAGCTGACAACATAGAATCTTTGCCAGGCGCCGTCACGCGAATCGCGCGAAAGCGCGACAACAAGCACGCATGCGCACACGATTTGCGCTTTCAGCATTCTCGTTCCCAGAGCTTCGATCCTTTTGCTCAGCGGCAGGGATCGATCGGTAGGTACTTCATGTATGGGACATATATTGTACTGATTTTACCTACTTACCTACCTTCAGTCTTTCTATTTGGTCCCTTGTTGCCTTGTAGCTCTGTTCTCTGTTACCTTGTTGATTTGTTTCCTTGTTACTCTGTTACCTCGTTACCCTGTTACGTTGTTACCTTGTTACTCTGTTACCTTGTTACCTTGTTACTCTGTTACCTTGTTACCCTGTTACGTTGTTACTTTGTTACGTTGTTACCTTGTTACCTGTTACCTTGTCACCCGTTGTTACGTTGTTACGTTGTTACTCTGTTACCTTGTTACTCTGTTACCTTGTTACCCTGTTACGTTGTTACCCTTGTTACCTGTTACCTTGTTACCTTGTTACCTTGTTACCCTTGTTACCTTGTTTCCTTGTTACCTTGTTACTCTGTTACCTTGTTACTCTGTTTCCTTGTTACCCTGTTACCTTGTTACCTTGTTTCTGTTACCTTGTTACCTTGATACTATGTAACCTTGTTACCTTGTTACTCTGTTACCTTGTTACTCTGTAACCTTGTTACCCTGTTACCTTGTTACCCTTGTTACTCTGTTACCTTGTTACCCTTGTTACTCTGTTTACCCTTGTTACTCTGTTTCCTTGTTACCTTGTTACCTTGTTACTCTGTTTCCTTGTTACCTTGTTACCTTGTTACCTTGTTACTCTGTTTCCTTGTTACCTTGTTACTCTGTTTCCTTGTTACCCAGTTACGTTGTTACTTTGTTACTCTGTTACCTTGTTACTATGTTACCTTGTTACCTTGTTTCTCTGTTACCTTGTTACCTTGTTACTATGTTACCTTGTTACCATGTTACTATGTTACCTTGTTACCCTGTTACGTTGTTACCTTGTTACTCTGTTACCTTGTTACCTTGATACTATGTTACCTTGTTACCTTGTTAGTCTTTTACCGTGTTACCTTCTTACTCTGTTACCTTGTTACCTTGTTACTCTGTTTCCTTGTTACCTGTTCCCCTGTTACCTTGTTACGCTGTTACCTTGTTAGTCTTTTACTGTGTTACCTTCTTACTCTGTTACCTTGTTACCTTGTTACTCTGTTCCTTGTTACTCTGTTACCTTGTTACTCTGTTACCTGTTACCCTGTTACCTTGTTACTTTGTTACCGTGTTACCTTGTTACTCTGTTTCCTTGTTACCTGTTCCTTGTTACCTTCGTTTTACCTCGTTACTCTGTGACCTTGTTGCTTCGTTACCTTGTTACTCTGTTACCTATTACCTCTAGGTATCTAGGAATGTGTGTAGACGTAATACGTCACATGCACATCTTGTCAGAGTTAAAGCGCACTTGCCATTGAGATGCCTAGGACGGCGGGATCAGTCAGTAACAGATTGTGGTAATGTTTAACTTCCCCCGCGGCCTTGTTTGACGGTTTGTATAGTATGGCGTGTCAGTGCGTAAAGAACTGTAAAAGAAAAAGATTGCGATATGTATGTCCAGGAACGATCTTGTTAGCAAATTCTCTTCGCATTTGTCGCAAAGAAAATAATTCACCGAAAAGTTTGTAAGACAATCACTTGCAAATATGGCAAGAGTAGCAATAATAACCAATAAAACAAAATTCTAGACTTAGAAAAAAATCGCAAAAGTAACAAGGATATTTGCTGCTACCTAAAAACACTGAAAAAGTAAGAAATATCGCAAAAATAGCAATAATAACAAATTTAACAAAATTCTAGACTTAGAAAGAAAAATGGCCAAGAAGGGCCTCCAAAAGCACTCAAATCTCGCAAATATCGCAAAAGTAATCTCTTCACATACAAGAAAAATCCTTGTTGAGTACTTTCATTGAAAGTCAGACCGCTGGGAGCCACCAGTTCAGCCCCAGTCAGTCGCACCAGAAACATACCTAGAAGAGGTTAAATTACAACTTGCTAATTGATAAATACAATCACGTCAAGAAACAATCTACCCAAGAGGGAACAACTTGCCATCAAACAACTAAAACAAAACCCGGAAATCAACATTAAACGAGCAGATAAAGGCTCTTCTATTGTTGTTCTCAACAAAGAAGACAAAATAAAAAGACGGTAAAATATAAATAGATGACACAGAAAATTACAAACCCTTAGAAACACCAATGGTAGTAGAAACCTCTAGAAGGGTCAAGAAATTGATAGATAAACTTTACAAGGAGAAACATATAGACGAGATGACAAGACGATGGCTATCCCTCACGCCAAATCCACCGCGAATACCACAATTCTAGATACGACAGATTTTATCAACTTCATAGAGAAAACCAGGGTCGTAGAAAATGCTATGCTAGTCTCTATGGATGTAACTAGCCCTATACACAAAACATCCCACAGGAGGAAGGAATTACCATTATATGCAAAGCATACGAAACATTCTATCAAAACAAACCTCAATACTCAGCCAATACCTCGCAGATATGCTCAGACTAATCCTAAGGAAGAATTCTTTCCAATTTGTTGGAAAAAACTACGTCCAAGGACAAGGTACAGCTATGGGAACAAAAATGGCAGTTGAATTTGCTAACATTTTATGTCTGCAATAGAGACAGAAATTATTAACAAAAGTCCGCACAAGCCACTAGTGTGGAAGAGATTTATCAATGACATATTCTCATTGTGGAATGTAGACAAAGAAGAATTATACTCATTCATCGAACAAGCAAATAACAACCACCCTACCATAAAATTTACTGCTGAAGTTTCAGAAACAGAGACCGCCTTTCTGGATACATGTATTTACAAAGGAGAAAGATTTAAGAAGGAATCAATCCTAGATGTGCGTACACACCTCAAACCGACAGAAACTTTCCAATACACGTACTTTCTCTTCATGTCACCACCCAGGGGTTAAGAAAGGATTCATAAAAGCGAGGCCTTAAGATTACTCAGAACAAACTCTTCTGCGAAAAGGTTCGAAGAGAACATAACTAATTTCAAGCGAAGACTCCGTATGAGAGGTTATAGAGATAAAGTGATAGATAAACACCTATCAGAAGTCGAGCATCACGAAAGAATGTCGGCTTTGCAAAACAAAACAAAAACGCACAAGAAATACTACCATTCGTGACAGAATATCGCCCCTCAGTACCGAACCTACAAAAAATCATCATGCACAAATGGTATCTTATAGAAAACCAACCGTTTCTTAGAGAAATCTTTAAAGACCCTCCCATAAAAGCTTACAAAAGAGGAAAGTCACTACAAAGATATACTCGTAAGAGCTAATCTATGAAGGTAAGGCCAAACCAACAGAAACTCAGCCAAAGAGAGACGTGAATAGCCTGTAAACAGAGTAACACAGAGGTAACAAGGTAACAAAGAGGAAAAAAATTTACCAAATAAAGCTGGTAAAGAAAACGTAACAAAGAAACAAGGGAACGGGAAAAAAAAAGTAACACAGTAACAAGGCAACAGGAAACAAAGTAACAAGGTGACAGGGTAACAGAGTAACAAGGTGACAAGGTAAAGGATAACAGAGTAACAAGGTAACACAGTAACAGAGGTAAAAAGGTAACAGAGTAACAAGGTAACAGAGTAACAAGGTAACAAGGTAACAGAGGTAACAAAGGTAACAAGGTAAAGGTAAACAGGGTAACAGAGTAACAAGGTAACAGGGTAACAAGGTCACAGGGTAACAAGATAACAGAGTAACAAGGAAACAGAGTAACAAGGTAATAAGGAAACAGAGCAACAAGGAAACAAGGAAACAGATCAACAAGGTAACAGAGAACAGAACTACAAGGCATCAAGGAACGAAGTAGAAAGAGTGAAGGTATAAGTTAAGTTAGTAAAATCGGTACAATATATGTCCCCATACATGACGTACCTACCGAGAAAACAGTACGATGAAACGAGGGATGCGACGACTCGAAAACATGGAATCGACGCCACGAAGACAACAAACAATGATTCGAAGAACAATTTTCGAAGCATACAGGCATGTATGCACTTACCTTCACTTGCATGCACTTACTTCATTTGTACGCACTACCCTTCACTTATACGCACTACCTTCACCTGTATGCACTTGCCGTCACTTGTACGCTCCTAGAGGGTAGCAAAGGGTTTATGGGTGAGGCGTGTTTTGGTCCAAATTTAGTGCGTGAGTCGCGTGAAGCGTGAAAGTTCCCAAAATCCCAAAATAGGAACCTGATCCGTGAAACCAGTTATGCATGGGAAGTATGATTTATCGTATAAGATGCGCAGTACTCGGTGAGTAATTCAATATAGGACAGACAGAAAAGCCTCGTACGTCACAGTCGGTGTAGGCTGCACAGAAGGCACCAATTTTGTAAGGGCGAAGGGAGAAATTTCGAGGACACGCGCGCACCCTCTAGGGGAGAAAAAGAGTAAAACTAACCAAAAAACTGACCTTCGCTTGCGACGCAGGCTTCAGTCGCTAGCGGGTTAAAAGAAGTCGCATCGAGGGCGTTAATGTGTTTTCAGTTTGAACGTCTGGAAACACGTGTTTTCCACATCCGCGACTGCTAGTGAACACCCACATTCTAATGAGAGGAGAAACGGGAGAAGCTGCGACCGTCAAATACAATGCAAATTGAGATCCATGATGGCTGTGTTTCGGTTCTTATTGCTACTCTCCACCTACCTGTTGTATATATAAGCCCCCCGTTTATAAGCCCTCCTGAACCGTTTAAACCCTAAGATCAAAATTGAGATTCTCGTTTACTGTCCCTATACTTTTTCAATACAAGTAGTGGGGAGAATTTGTTGAAATATCAGATAGACTCATCTTCCCTGATCATGTACTCAATTCTCATGACAACTCTGTTTTCTAAAGAATTTTTCTGAAAAATTTCATGCTCATCACTCTTAGGGCTTAACTGGTTTAAGCCCTTACAAAGTTGTATAAGCCCTGGCATTTGAAGGGCTCCTGGCCCAGGCCTCACAATCAGAAGTTTACGGTACCCGTCTCCTCCCATAAATAAAGAAAAATGAAGCCTAAGTGGAGAAAGATTCAATACAAATATCTAGAACTGCGCTAACACAGAGATTCAGAATTAAGTTTACGTCAAACGGCAAACTTGGAATTCAAGTTAAGAAGAACGTCTTTGTAATTTTGCTTTGTCGCGAACCTGATGAATTCCCCCCGCACAACGGCATACCATAAACTTCCGATTATTAGCCCCATAATAAGAACGAAAAAAGCTGAAAACAAGGTTAAAAGTTTCATGCCTGCGTTTCCACTGCTCAAGGCCATATACCGCCGGACATGTTTGTGTATACTAAAAGATTCTTTCACTTTGTTCTCATTGTATTTCCGTCAATGACTGTTGCATAAAGTACCATTTTGCTCCTTTTCTCTTATTTTATTACCCGAGATGACGTAGTCAGCAAGCGTCATAAATTCGGTAGCGCATTCCTTTCGTATTTTTTCTAAGGGTGAAAAATTGTCTTGTTTTTTCAACTTTCCTATATCCCGTACCCGTCCCGCAAAATTGTGTGGTTTTTATTGGCTAAACCTTCCAATCAAAAGCAAGTCAGGTTCGATTGCACAAGCAGAAAAAAGATACTGGGTCAGACAAGAAGCAAAAAGTAAGCTTACTGCGTAGAGGAGGAGTAGTTCACTGTGCCCCCTGTGTCCCTTGTGCCCCCTTGTGTCCCCTGTGTCCCTTTGTGTCCCCTGTGTCCTCTGTGTCCCTTTCTCTCCCCTGTGTCTCTTGTCTTCCTTGTGTCCCATTGTGTCCACCTTTGTCCCTTTGTGTCCCATGTATCCCTTGTGTTCCCTATGTCCCCTTGTGTTCCGCGTGTGTTCTTGTGTCCCCTGTGTACGTTTGTGTCCCCTGTATCCCTTTGTGTTCCCTGTGTCCCCTTGTGTCCCATTTGTACCTTTGTGTCCCCTGTGTCCGTTGTGTCCCCTTGTGTCCCCTGTGTCCCTTTGAGTTTCCTGTGTCCCCTGTGTCCGATGTATCCCCAGTATCCCTTTGTGTCCTCTGTGTCCCCTGTGTCTCTTATGTCCCCTTGTCTCCCTTGTGACTCCTGTGTCCCATGTGTCCTCTTGTGTGCCTTGTGTCCCCTGTCTTCCTTGTGTTCCCTCTGTTCCATGACTCTCCTGTATCCTGTATCCCTTGTGTCCCCTATGTCCCTTTGTGTCCCTTGTCTCCTGTGTCCCTCGTGTCACCTGCGTCCCATGTGTCCCCTTGTGTCCCTTGTGTCTTCTGTGTCCCATGGAGACCCTGTGTCCCTTGTGTTTCCTTTGTGTCTCCTGTGTCCCATGGAGACCCTGTGTCCTTTCTGTCCCCTGTATCCCTTGTGTTCCCTATGTCCCCTTGTGTCCCCTGTGTACCTTTTTGTTTCTTTGTTCCAATTGTGTCACCTGCGTCTTATGTGTCCCCTTGTGTCCCTTCTGTCCCCTGTGTCCATTGTGTCTCCTGTATCCCTTGTGTCCCATGGAGCCCCTGTGTCCCTTGTGTCCCTTGTGTGCCCTGAGTCTCCTGTGTCCCTTGTGTCTCCTGTGTCCCCTTGTGTCCCCAAGTGACCCTGTGTCCCTTGGGTCTCTTCTCTCCCCTGTGTCCATCGTGTCCCTTGGATCCCCTTTGTTTCTTGTGTCCCCTGTGTCCCCTGTGTGCCTTGGGTCAACTTACGTCCCATGTAACACATGTCCTCTTTGTTCCCTGTGTCCCCTGGGTCACCTTTGTTACTTGTGTCCCCTGTGACCCTTGTGTCTTCTGTGTCCCGTGTGTGCCTTGGGTCAACTTATGTCCATTGCGACCCGTGTGTCCCCTGTGTTCCTGTGTCCCCTATGTCGGTTGTGTCCCGTGTGTCGCCTGTGTCGGCTGCGTCCCTTGTGTCTCCTGTGTCCCATAAGTCTCCCGTGTCCCATAACGTCCCTGTGTCCCTTGTGTCCCTTGTGTCCCATGGAGCCCTTGTGTCCCCTGTGTCCCTTGTGTGCACTGAGTCTCCTGTCTCCCCTGTGTCCCCTAGTATCGCTTGTATCCCTTGTGTACCCTGTGTCCCTTTGTGTCCCTTGTGTTGCTTGTGTCTCCTTGTGTCCCTTTTGTACTTTTGTGTCCCCTGTGTCCCTTGTGTTCCCTGTGTCCCCTGAGTCCCTAGAGTCCCCTGTGCCACTAGTGTCCCCTGTGTCCCTTTTGTTCCCTGTGTCCCCTGACTCCTTAGAGTCCCCTGTGTCACTTGTGTCCCCCGTGTCCCTTGTGACCCCTGCATATCTGCTGTCCCCTTGTGTCCCATGTGTCCCCTTGAGTTGATTGTGTCTCCTGTCTTCCCTGTCTCCCTTGTGTTCCCTAAGTCCCATGCCTCCATTTTGTTTTCCTGTGTCCCTTGTGTCCCCTGTGTCTCTTTCTCCCCTGTGTCCCTGTGACCTCTGTGTCCCTTGTGCCCCTGTGTCTCCTATGTCCTTTGTGTCTGCTGTGTCCCTTGTGTCCCCTGTGTAACTTGTGACTCCTGTATCTCCTTGGGTTCACTGTGTCCCTTTTGTCTATTGTGTCCCCTGTGTCGGTTGTGTCCCCTTATCTAAAACGAACTACCCTTCATTCTAAATAACAATGCTAAAGATTCTATCTTACTACCAGATGGTTCTCACTTAAACTGTCTACTTTATGCCGATGATTTACTTTTAATATCTAGCTCGGCAGAAGGTTTGCAACAAAGTCTTGACAGACTATCAAAATATTGTCAGGATTGGCTTCTTAAGATTAATCCAACTAAAACCAAAGTTATTGTATTTCAGAAGAAAAGTAGAAAATCAGCAATAGATAAACACAATTTTATGGTTAGCAATGAAAACATTGAAATCGTCAATAACTATACCTATCTTGGAGTGAAACTTTCTGCCAATGGAAATTTTACAAATCACAAGGAAAACTTAACAGAAAAAACAAAGAGATCCTTTTTTGCCGCTCGTCGTTATCTAGATTTTCTAAAATTACCAATTCACATCATCAACAAACTGTTCAATACACTATTTTTCCCAATTTTAACATATTGCTCTGAAGTTTGGGGAATCTATGATAAAAGTGATTATAGCCGCTGGGATAAAGACTCGATTGGCAAAACGCATGTATTTTTTTGTAAGATGTGTTTAGGTTTAAACAAACGTTCACCGAATGTTGCATCCAGAAATGAACTTGGTAGATTATCTCTAAATTTACAAATAACAATGAACATTTTCAAATTTTGGATTCACCTTGAAAATCAACCCCCTGACAGCATCGCTAAACTCTGCTTAAACATATCGGATAAACTGGCCGAAGAAAATAAATCTGGTCTAATAAATAAAATAAATCTTTTGAGTACACATCTTAATATTCATAAACAGTCAGTTAAATTTAAAAACCCTTCTACTTTTCTATCCAAAGCTGAGAATAATTTGTCAAAACATCTGAAAAACCACCAGCTAAATTTGATAAGAACAAATAAAAAACTAAAATTCTACTCCATCTTTAAAAATGAAACAAATCACTCTGAATTCATCAATCATATCCGGAATCCAGAACGTAGGCGTGTAGCTTCCAAATTTAGGATAGGAAATCATAATTTAAAAATAGAAACTGGAAGATTTACAATCCCCAGAACTCCTGAAGACCTTAGAATCTGTGATCATTGCAACCAAAATTCAGTTGAAAATGAACCGCACATATTATTTCACTGTGATCAATACAATGATTTGAGAAAGACTCTTTTTATTAAAATCAACGACCGAAATACATTATTTACACATTACAATATCCATGATAAAGTCTGTTTTCGTTTTAACAATACTGATTCACATATCAGCAGGCTAGCTGCTAATTTCATCTTTCAAGCATTTGAAAGACGAAAGAAACATAGTTAATTCTACCGTTCCATCATATCTGCATTTCCTTAAACTTAGCTGTTTATTATTGTTATTTTAATCGGTAACACCTGTACAAAATGGTAATACTGAATAAACTTGTTGTTGTTGTTGTTGTGTCCTTTGTTTTCCTTTGTCTCTTGTGTCCCCTGTGTCCCTTGTTTTTCTTTGTATCCCTTGTGTCCCCCATATACCTTGTGTCTCTTTAAAGCCCCTGTCTCCCTTGTGTCCTCTGTGTCTTTTGTGTTCCCTTGTAGCCCCTGTGTCCCTTGTGTTCCCTTGTATCCCTTGTGTCCCATTGGTCTCCTTGTGCCCTTTGTGTCCCTAGTGTCCCGTGTCCCCTTAAAGTAAAGTAAAGTAAAACTTTATTTACACAGGGTAGCCTGTTGAGCTCTAAGGCTGGTCCCCATAGGGGCGCTGTATCTTAAAAAATTTAGTTACAGTCCCCTTGTGACCTGTGTCCCTATGAGTCCCCTGTGTCCCTTGTGACTTTTGTCTCACTTGTGTTTCCGGTGCCCCTTTGAGTCCCCTGTGTTGCTTGTTTCCCCTGTGTTCCCCGTGTCCCCTTCTGACCGTTGTGTCCCTCATGTCCCCCGTTTTCCTTTTTTTCCTTGTCCCTTGTGTTCCCTGTGTCCTTTGTGTTTCCTGTGTCCCTTGTGTCTTCTTATGTTCTGTTTTTTGTGTCCCGTGTCCCCCTTTTTCGTTTAAAAAACATGAAGTATTCGGTGGCGTTGCCTTTGTTTCTTATCTGGCGCGAAAACTTGGGGGTTCCATTGCTTCACGTGACAACATGCGGGGTTTTTTTGCACGCTCAGGATGCCAAAGAATGTGATTTTTTATGAAAATAAAAAAACAACACACAAAGTTCTGCTTTAATTGTTTAGAATTTTTTTATTTGATTAATCAATTAACGGTTCACTGATTTATTTATTTGAACCATTACAAACACAGCAATGATTGTTGTCCATATACAAACATATAAATCGCTCCTTCATAAAATGATTAGTCCTGATCACGAATGCGCACTCGTACTTTCATAAGATAAAAAATAAGCGCCCATTTATCTTTGTAAAAACCCTGCAATCTTCCTTTGAACTTATATTTATTGTTCGATAGTCCATGCAGTCTTAATTCTTTCCATAAATGTTTCAATCCAACCTCAATGCACTTAAAAGAATTCAATTTTAATATTAACATGAAAACCAAGCGCATACCGGCATTTCTTATATATAAATTGCAATCGCCATTAAGACCCTGTTTACATGGAGTGGGGGACCCCGGTCTAGTGGGGTAGGTTTCTTTTGTTTTGTGTCCCTCAGAGCGTGAAAACAAAAGAAACCAACCCCACTAGACCGGGGTCCCCCACTCCATGTAAACAGGCCCTAATACACTTAACCTAGTTTCGCAATAAGTTAATTGTTACATAATTATTGCAACAAGTCTTGGTAAATTAGACCCTAGATTAATAACATGCACTTTCTTACTTAGCATTAGCATTGCAATACCCTCACAGTAAGTTAATTACCAGATTAATCAAATGCGCGCACTCTAAATTTTGCCTACAATACCCAGAAAGACACACACAAGAATAAATACACGGGCTTGTAGGTCAGCAAGGGCCTCAAAGCCAGTTTATTGCAAAACGTCCCTCAGATTACAAAAATGCACTAAAATACAAAACACCCTATGACGAAACACGAATCTCAAAGAAGAAAAAGTACGACACCGCCGGATACGAAAACCCAAAACCACTTTGTGGAAAAAAGGGAAAGTACACCCCCACCTGCTGAAATCAGCTGCGGTGCCGACAACTCGGGGGCAGAGGTACGCAAAATCTAGCTGCCAAAAGCCTATAAACAAATATAACAACAATTGGCAAATAAAATGAAAGTTAGGACCTCGAATGAATGCTGAACTGGACTGATTCAAATTGCAATGTACAACGAAACATATCTAAAAAAGCTACCCACAATTCCTTCTACCGGCCTAGTCCTAGTCTAGGTCGGCCTAGTCCTCCGGCAAAATAGCTATTTCTCTCTCCTCTAAATCTTAGTTTTTTCGTGAATAAACCGAACGCTTGGCTTGAAGCGAGCCGCACCCAAGGTTTGTGTGTTTTCTTGTTGGAACAAACTAAGATACATGACATATCATAGAAACGTAATATACAATCCAAGTAACATACAGCTCCAAAGAACTAGATCACAAGCTAATTGAAATGGGGTCGTGGAACAACAGCTGGGTGAAAAACCTCCCCGTACGTCCACTTGCACCTAGGAGGAAAACCCCAGGCCAGCTGCACCCCATAAAAAACGGTCCCCCGGGCAAGACCAACTAAATAGAAACTAGAATCAATTAAAAACGGTACGAACGAGAAAATTAAATACCTAAAGCCTTAGAAACCGACAAACGAGAAGATAAAGAATCTTGGACGTACCCGTCCTTAGCTGATTCACTAGCCCAGCGGCCATGACGCCTAAAAAGTCGGTCTGGTACGCCAGCATTTGCGGCAGCAGTAGCCCCGCCGCTCCTAAGGCTACAATACAATATCTTAAAAGGCCTCTAGCACTAACTCTCTTAACCGTGAAAAGCTTAAACATTTGGATCTTGGCTTATAATAACCACATTTAGTTTTGGAAAGCTGGCAAAAAAAAGGGCTATCGAAGGAAAGCCCAGCTCTATCTAAATAACGGTTCATCATAGCAACCGGACACGTTGCTTTCCTAGAAGAAACTACAACAATCCAAGCTCCATCCCTACACTGATCAGGTTTACTAGATTGAATGAATAACCTTAACATATCATTTTCGATCTTAACATCGGATCGAACAAGCTTAGCAAGCTCAACAAATCTGAGAAAGGCAGCAAATAAGCTAGTAAGCAAATAACAACCGAACGAATGTTATACAAAGAGTCCATTGAGTCCGCCTTGGAGGCAACTAACTGCTCTAACTGAGAGACTGTGATAGGTTCCTTCTTGGTTGTTTGATGGGCCAGCAAACTCTGCGCACCGGCAAGAGTACTCTTCACCAACGGATGAGCAGAAGGAGACGGCTCGCCATCCAGCTGGTGAAACCAGGGAATGCTGTGAACTGCTGACTCCAGGGGAGATGCTGTCTTCGCCTGTCATCAAATGACGCAAATATATGGCAAAGTGAAACGGAGAAGCAGGAGAAACTGTCAAGCCATGTTCTCGTGCCCAAGACCTCCATCTGTTGTAAGAAGAAAAATACTTGGCGGAAGTACTGAGTGCTCTGCTAGCCAACGCAATATCCGGAAGAGAACTTGCAAGGGATTGTAAAGCACTGGATCCCTGGGGAACCGCAGCCCGAAGATCCGACCACATAGTAGAGCTGAAAACATCTGCAAAATATAAGCAAAACGAACATACACACACCCTTAAAAGACAAAAACAAATAAAAATGACCCGAACGCTGGAACAGCAAGACCGAGATGAAAGACAAATCCAACACGCCCAAATATATACCCCTACTAATTACCCACATACCAGCGCACACGCCTAAACAAACATAAGATACCGATGAGAGCATATTTTCCTGCTAACTAACAAGTAAAACGCAGGAAAATACTAGTCGGTTCTATTATACTAAACTATCAGAAGCAACTTTTCATAAGCATTGCAATACCCTTGTGGTAAGTTAATTACCAGATTAATAAAACGCACGCACTGTTAATTAATAAGCATTGCAATACCCTCGTGGTAAGTTAAGCATTAAATAAATAACACACAGACACTCAATTTCTGATATGAGATTGCAATCTACTCTTAGTAAATTAATTACTAAATTAAAACACGTGTGCATTCTTAATTCTTACATAAGCATTGCAATTCACCTTAGTAAACTGATCACTAAAAAAACACATGAACACTCTTAATTGTCGCATAAACATTGCAAGACTTTGTTTAATTCTTACATAAGCGATGCGACATACCAGTCTTAAATTAATCACTAGATAAATAACACGCGCTCACTTAATTTTTATGATTATCAAACCGTCCTCAACCAATTAATTACTAAATATTAATAACACGCGCACTCTTAATATAAACATAGCAATATCCTCATAGTAAGTTAAGCATTAAATAAATAACACACAGACACTCAATTTCTGATATGAGATTGCAATCTGCTCTTAGTAAATTAATTACTAAATTAAAACATAGCATTCTTAATTCTTACATAAGCATTGCAATTCACCTTAGTAAACTTATCACTAAATAAATAACATGCACACTCTTAATTGTCGCATAACATTGCAAGACTTTGTTTAATTCTTACATAAGCGATGCGACATACCAGTCTTAAATTAATCACTAGATAAATAACACGCGCTCACTTAATTTTTATGATTATCAAACCGTCCTCAACCAATTAATTACTAAATATTAATAACACGCGCACTCTTAATATAAACATAGCAATATCCTCATAGTAAGTTAAGCATTAAATAAATAACCCACAGACACTCAATTTCTGATATGAGATTGCAATTTATTCTTAGTAAATTAATTACTAAATTAAAACACGGTCTAAATTAATACCGGTCTTAAATTAATCACTAGATAAATAACACGCGCACACTTAATTTTTATGATTATCAAACCGTCCTCAACCAAATAATTACTAGTAATTAATAACACACGCACTCTTAATATAAGCATAGCAATATCCTCATAGTAAGTTAAGCATTAAATAAATAACACGCAGACACTCAATCTACTCTTAGTAAATTAGTTACTAAATTAAAATACGTGTGCATTCTTAATTCTTACATAAGCATTGCAATTCACCTTAGTAAACTAATCACTAAAAAAAACACATGAACACTCTTAATTGTCGCATAAACATTGCAAGACTTTGTTTAATTCTTACATAAGCGATGCGACATACTAGTCTTAAATTAATCACTAGATAAATAACACGCGCTCACTTAATTTTTGATTATCAAACCGTCCTCAACCAATTAATTACTAGATATTAATAACACACGCACTCTTAATATAAGCATAGCAATATCCTCATAGTAAGTTAAGCATTAAATAAATAACAGACACTCAATTTCTGATATGAGATTGCAATCTATTCTTAGTAAATTAATTACTAAATTAAAACACGTGTGCATTCTTAATTCTTACATAAGCATTGCAATTCACCTTAGTAAACTTATCACTAAATAGATAACATGCACACTCTTAATTGTCGCATAACATTGCAAGGACCCTGCAGTGAATTAATCACTATATTAATAACATGCAGACATTCTTAATTCTTACATAAGCGATGCGACATACCAGACTTAAATTAATCACTAGATAAATAACACGCGCTCACTTAATTTTTATCATTATAAAACCGTTCTCAGCTAATTAATTACTGTAACATATTAATAACACGCGCACTCTTAATATAAGCATAGCGATATCCTTATACTTAATTCGAACGTTAACATTGCGATCTAGACTCATTTTCACGTGTTATTAGATAAAATTGGTACTAACATGGGTGTTTACTCTATCATTATACCCTTTTTCTTAAAGAC